TTTTATTTTGTCTCTGATTTTTAGTTTTTCACAATTTTATTTTATGATTTGGTATTTTATGATTTTTTTCACTTTATTTGAATTGTTTTAATTGTTTAAAAATAATTTTCTTGATTTTAAAATTTTAAAATTTTGAAAAAAAATATGGAAGGATCCAATGACCTCTTGACAAATATTAGTAACCTCATTTTATTTTTATATGTGATTTTACTATTTTTTTACAAATTTTGATTTTATTTGTTTATTTCTTTAAATTCTAAAAATAGTTTGTGTACTTTTTATTTGGTATTTTAATATACTTTGTGTATTTTACCAATTATTTCCTTTTTATTAAACATTTAAATATTGTTTTATTAAATATTATGTTATAATTTTTGTTTTGTCCTGATATGAGTATAATTTTGGGACAAGTTCCTCAACCTCATTGAATCTTGGATGTTGATAGATTGAAAAACTAAATCCACCAAAATGAATAAATAATGTGATGATGTTTGAAACCCTAATTTTATCGGATACATTCACTCTCTCTTCATCTTATCTCTTTCTTAATTGTACTAGATGTTGATGGAGAGTAATCTACATATCATTTCTCTAACATGTGGTACATAAATTGCTATTGTCCAACTTGAAAATAGGTGCGACTTCTATATAAGTCTACTTATGATTGCTTAACATAGCGCTAGATTTGTCCCGATTCGAATAATGATCATTCGTGCCCCAAACCTATGTTTGCAAACCGAAGTATGTTTAATTTGAAACGTTGGATCCAATAACTTTGAAGTTTATTGTTAGGAGGCTTTCATTCTATAAATCCTCTAATGGAATTCATGAAATTTGGTCTAAGTGAATCATTTTAACATTGTTGATCATATGTGGTTGCTTTAAACACTTGAAATGAATGATATACTTGATAAAAAGAAAATGAAACTTGTTTTTGAGAGGTTTTGATTTTATCAATCTTCTAATGAGTTTTCAATACAAACTTTAAGAGGGTCATTCAACTAACCTCTAACTTCTAATTCACTAAAAATTGACTTTACTTTACGCTTTTACTTTATGCCTTTTTATTTTTACGCCTTTAATTTTATGCACCTTTTATTTTAGCATTTATATTCCATAACATTTTTATATTTGCTCAGTTGAGCATTTATTTTTATGTCATTTTTATTTTGCTCACTTGAGTCTTGATTTTATTTTTAAAAACACTTAATAATCAACTTGAACATTAAAAAAGTTTAAGGTTACTTGGACTATTGGTTACTATCATTGACATTATGGAGTAGTGAACCTCTTGGACTTAGGATTAGAAGTCTTGACTCTTTGGGACCTGTGACTCTGTTGTTATTTTATCTGAAGTACTTGGGGCTTACCCCAAGATATTGGATTGATTTTCTTTGTGTGCAGGTTATTCTGATCATGTGCTTTATCTATGATTGAGAACTCCTCTGTATACAGCCGTTACTCTGTCTATTTTTTGTGAAGACTTAATTCATCTGAAGCTTGGTTTCTCAGACGTTTAGTATCTTTGCTTATTTAGTTTCAATCCAAAGGATGAGAAATCTACATTGATTTCTTATGTCAAGTGTTAGCTTCTTGTTGGTTAGATCATTATTTTCCTTGGCTTTTACCTTATGCTTTAGGATAGTCCATTCATCTTCTTCCATCTTCTTTAATTTAAAAAATCTGCTCCCTCCTTTTCAAAACTCTTTTTGTTTTCTAACTTGAATCACTTTCATAATAAAATTGGACTTAGGTACATGCATTATCAAAATCTTTTCTTAATCAAACTTTAATCAATTTAATTATACTTTGACTTTTTTTTTTCGAGAAGACTAAAAGTCAATTAACCTCATTCAAATCATTTTTGCCACCTTGGGAATTTTACTTTAAACTTTTCATAAAAGATTTGACTCTTGTTGATTCTTGTAGTGATGCAAGCTACTATACTTCTATGATATGTAGTGAAGTGAGATATTTTCCACTTGGGTGTTGAGTGAGGCTTTGTTGATTTTAAAATCCAAGCTATATCCTCCACTTTGAGATGATGCAAATTCTCCTTTCTTATAATCCTAGGTAGTAAGTATGTTTTCCACTCAGATCTGACGATTATGTCTCTTCTCTTAAAATTAACCAACACACATGTATTTTAAAATTTTTATGGTGAACTACGAGTACCCTGATTCCCTATTGCACGCAAGGTGGTATGTAGGCACTAAAGATTCGTAACTGCAGAGGATGCAAAAATTGTAAAAAAAATCTTATTTTCTCATCTCCATCATATATTTTTGTATACATCTTTTATAGCAAAAATACACAGATTTTCAAAGAGGGTGCTAATACCTTCCCTTTGAACAACCAACCCTCGTACCTAGATTCTCTCCCGTCTTTTTGGGAGTATTTTCTCTTTTCCAATTCCTCTGAAAATAATATAGAGCGGTGACAATTTTTATTTTGATCTGTACGAGTCAAGTCAATCCAATGGCTTAGTCTCAACATTTCTACTGCTACACATTATCCTTACATCCATGATCTTTTAGGCTTTTAGGGAACACCTTTCTTGTATGACCCTCTTTCATACAATGATATCATCGAATATCAGATGTTTCTCCACTATAAGACTTCTGCTGACTTTTACCTTTCTTCTTGTCGAACTTACCATCCTTTCGCAAGAATTTTCCCTTAACAGTCAAATCTTCACCAACCGTCGAAGGTTTATGCTCCTTTCGTTCGTTCAAGTCCTTAAAATACAAGGCTGATTGAACATCTTCAAAGGTCAGGGACTCCCTTCCATACAAGAGAGTTTCTTCGAAGTGAGCATGTGTTCTGGGAAAAACACACAATTGCAACAACGCTTCATCGTTGATCTTTACATCAATATTTTCAAGATCAAGAGTCAGCTTGTTGAACATATCCAACTGCTCAGCTAACACTTTTTCTTTAATCATCTTGAATGAATACAAAGCTTGCTTCATGTATAGTCGATTTACCAGCAATTTGGTCATGTACAAACTTTTAAGTTTCACCCATATCCCTGATGTCGCCGCCTTCTTTGATACCTGTCGAAGAACCATATCACCAAGGCTCAACAAGATTAGGTTGTAAGCTTTTTCTATCATGGTCGTCTTTTCTTTTTCCGTTAACGCAACATCCATGGCCGCTGCTCCCTTCAACGCTTCCAAACAACTTTGTTGAACCAGTAGGGCTTTCATCTTCATGCGCCACAGACCGAAATCGTTCACTCCAGTGAACTTTTTAATATCATACTTTCTTGAAGGCATCTTCTCCACGCTCACCGCACTAATTTATTGTGAAACACGATACCTTTGAAACAAAGTATAACATGGTTCTTCAAGGAAAGAAAACCACAAGGATAAAAAAGAAAGGAAAATACGAAGAACAACAGTAATTGGTTATTAACTGATATTCTTTACTTTCTCTTCAAACAAGATTACAAGTGTTACAAGAATAACAAATAACCATCTAACCCTAAATTAGAATTTACAGTATAAAAAGATAAGAGACTAGTATGCTATTTATAATAAACCTAACATAATAAACTAATAGAATTTTTCACAAAAAACTCATTACAAGTTAACTTATTGTGCAAACTAACTTAAACAATTAGACATGACAAAAAGGCCCAATTCGAAATACTAACAATCCTAACATTTTGATACCCACATACTAGAACACACTTTGACTACAGTATGTAGGTCTTCGACACCAACATGTAAATATACTTCAACGGCATGCATAAATTTTGTCGAACCAAAAACTACCTTTCAATTTAATGGAGTTCAATCCAATATCTCACAAAAACCTTTAACTCTTATAATTATTTCCATGATAAATTTGTTAGCAAAAATGTGTCAATTACATAACTAGAGTACGTCACATGTTAACATCGTTCATCGTGGATGTCTTCTTCTATTCTTAAGCAGATAAATTCTTAAATACTCGTGATAAATAGTTAGGTACTGGTATATTTAATACAAATTAATTAAAAAATTTAATATATTTTAAATAAAATAATTTAAAAAATAATATGATAATGAATAACCTTATTTAATTGGATAAATATATCAGTAGCCAACTAAGTTCAAGGGTACACGAGGATACACCCTAATATAATATAATGAGAACCATTGACATTTTGATTTGGAAAATATCAAGATCTCAGATCGAACGCAATAAAATGAGAATATGCATTATATGATTAAGAAAAGAGACGATACATTCCATCAAATAATAAAATAATAAAATGAGAATATGCATTATATGATTAAGAAAAGAGACGATACATTCCATGAATTAATAAAATAAGACTAGGCAGAACATACCCCACTCCATACGTCCATATTTTTGGCTAATTCACAAAATTCTTTTTACTTTTTCATATGTAATTGTTGAGTTATTGCTGCATTGACCATTACAATAACACTAATTTTCATACGTAATTGTGGTGGAAAACTGCAATTTGAAAACCATTGACTTCATGACACCAAAAAATATAAACTATGAAATAGAGCTTGACATCTCAACTCATATTATATAAATATTTGGAACTGACATTTAAACAATACACATCTTTCCCTACAAAGATGAGGATTTCCTACACCTCTAACCGATTTCTCCTATTCATTATCTTCACTGCATGCTTATGTTTATTCTTTGCGATTCAGAAAAAGAAACCTACACATCTAAATAAATCCTCAAAACATGAGATCCCAACCAATAACTACTCCTCTCTATCAGGTCTTAAACTTGATAAACTTCCTAATGAAGATGAAGTTTTAAAATTATTCCAACAATGGAAGAAACAACATGGACGAGTATACAATGGTCTAGAAGAGATGGCAAAGAAATTTGACACATTTGTTACAAATTTGAAGTATATCGTAGAGAGTAATGCAAAGAGAGAGTCACCTCATAGTGCTGTTCTTGGTCTGAACAAGTTTGCGGACTGGAGCTTCGAGGAGTTCAAAGAAACATACATAAACATGAACGATGATGACAGCATGGATATTGTGATGAACGATGATGTTCATGACTCAACATGTAGCGATCCACCTTCATCCTTGGATTGGAGGTCTAAAGGAGCTGTCACTCCTGTTAAGAATCAAGGCCATTGTGGTAACTATAAAGATAGGAAACGAAGGTTTGTTTGTTGTAAATATTTTAAAACGAGATATTGATCAAATTGCATTTTGTTTTTATTAGGTTCTTGTTGGGCATTCGCGGCTGTAGGTGCCATTGAAGGAATAGTTGCAATAGAGACAGGGAAGCTTCTTAACTTTTCAGAACAAGAGGTTCTGGATTGTTCTAAAAGTAATGGTTGTAAAGGTGGATCTTCGATCAAAGCGTTCGAGTGGGTTATAGGAAACGAAGGAGTTGCATTGGAGAGTGATTATAATTATACGGCAGTGAAGGGAACTATTTGTAAAGCCTCACAGGTTCTTAATATCTGTCATAAATATCATTATATATCTTTCTTACAGCTGGTTATATTAATTTAACCTCCTCCTTTGTTTATGAACTGTAGATTCAAAATAGTCCATTTAGTGCCATTAATTCATTTAATCATGTGAACCAATCAGAGGAGGGACTATTGTGTGCAGTTGTTAAGCAACCAATTAAAGTGAGTTTTCATGTCACACGAGATTTTAAGGATTACACCCATGTAAGTCATTATATAATGTTTTTAGTTTTAATGTTTAGGAGTTAGATTCCAACAACGGATCAACAATGTTTTTAGTCCTTTTACATCTTATGGTTCATTGGCAGGGAATATATAAGGGTCCCGATTGCCCGGTTAATTCTACAAAAACAAATCACTCCATGTTAATAGTGGGTTATGATTCGTTAAAAGGTGAAGATTATTGGATTATGAAGAATTCATGGGATACGAGTTGGGGAATTGATGGTTATGTGTTTGTAAAAAGGAACACTGGTAAAATGTATGGGGTGTGTGCAATAAATGCAAAGGCTTATAACCCAATCAAAAATAAGTAATGAAGAATAAAAGTTAAAATAAGAGTCCAAATAAGTTTCATTATATAGATAAAGAATAAGTTAAAGAGATTACTTAAGTCTAGAGTTTGATGTCTGTGCATTCTATATGTTGTTATGAACATGTTAGTTCCTCTGAATTTCGAAGTTGATGGGTATAAATTATGACAATAAAATGATTTGTATTCTCAATGAAAAATAATAAAAATATCACACATATATGTTTGTTCTAAAATTGAGTATATATATATTAATGTCGTAATTGTCTAAATGATAACCTTTTCTATTTAATTAGATTTATATGTGTAATGCGCGACTCTTAATTTAACTCTTAAAAATTGCAGAATACATGTTTTAACGTTAAAAGTATTTTTTAAGTGTTGTTTTATTGATTTCAAGAAAACAAAAAATATTTTAATGTGTGTTGTTAGGATACTTATTTTTGATATTTTAAAGATTATATATATTTAATTCGAATAATTATTGTGTTGTTAGGATATTTATTTAAAAATGATGCAAAATCTCTTTCTTTCAAATTTTATATAAATTAATGATAAATTATTATAAAAGAACAAACCCCAAACTATTTATCAATATGCAAAAAAAATAATATATGTCTTGTATCGTATTTTTATTTTTACAATGTGATTTTAAAATTAGACATTAAATTCAATTCCATATTTAAATGAGTACTATTTATTGTAAAATATATTATGAAGAAGTGCTATCTTATAGATTTTTTTAAAATTGAAAGATTGTTAAATTATTTTAGAGAAACTAAGTAAATAAATGTATCAAAAATTCGTTTCTTCTATTTTTTATAATTAAGAAATTATTGTTATATGAAAAATGTAGAGATGAAATATATAGATTCGGTAATTGTGTGACATTCTCTAATATAATTCTAGATCAATCAAGAGTTATTTTATTCCAAAAAATTGTGGAATATATACGTTAACATTAAAAGTATTTTTTTATGCTTTTGTTGCTATAATATAAATAAAGCAAATGTTATTTCAAAGTATGTTGATCCTAGGATTTCTTTTATTTTTGAAATATTAAAAAATATATTTAGTTTGAGGATTATTGTGTTATTAGGATATATAATAAAAAAAAGATCAAAAATATCTTTGTTTCATATATTATTTAAAATAAGGATGAATTATTGTAAATGGTTAAACATCAAATTATTTATCAATATGCAAGAAAAGAATATATGTGATTTTTGGGATATGATTTTAAAATTAAACGTTAAATCCAATAACGTCTTTAAAAAATAATTCTATTTAATTAAAATATACAATGAATAATTATCATTTCATCTATTTTTTGAAATTAAAAGAATCTTAAATTATATTAGAAATGTTATGTAAAAAAATTATCAAAATATCTTTTCATTCATTTTTATAATTAAGAATTTATTTGAACATAAATATAAATAGTATTCTATAAATTTTATGAAAATAATATATATGAGCAAATTAGTTGTATGTTGTAAAATAATTTGTTGATATTTAATTAAAATTTTATTGTATTTATTTAATAATGTATTGCATTAAAGTATTAATAATAAGTTTATTGCGAGTAAATTAGTATGATATTTTTGAAATGATAAAAATTAATAAATAAATATTAGATTATTGTATTTTTGAATTTTTGAGGATTCAAGCCCGTAACCTTCTATAGAGAGTAACATTATATTTTAATTTTTGAAAATTGAAGATGGATTATGAAAGATGCCACATAGAAAAATAAATGATGTTGCATAAAAATGAGTTGAAGTGTTGTATAATAGAAGTTGAAGTGTCACAAGATAATTTGATACACTAAATTTAATAGATATAAATAGATAGATATTTTAAAATGGAAAACTTTAACTACAACGAGATCTTCCCTTTAAAAATATAACAATAATATTGACTTTATTGAGATTAAAGATACGAAAGACGAAGAAAAATGATACAAAAATGTAATAAAATAATTTTAACAATAGTATAAGCAAATCCAGATTAAATTAAAGAAAGATAAAATATGAGTTCATCAAGAGCTTGATTATCCAGTGAACAAATTAATGTATTTTAAGGGAGAGTGTAATTTTTCAATTCTTTGTACTTCTATTTGTGTGTTTCTCTGGCCCTATCAATAGTGATAGTGGCCTATACTTACCGGGGTCAGCCTTAGACTAAGGCCATGAGGTGATGGCATAGGACCCACGAATTTAGGGGTCAAATTTTTTTAATACTCATATAGTATTTGTAGTGTTATATTTGTGAGAGTCTCAAATAAGGATGACATAAGAGTTTCAATCCCGTGAGTTATTTCCTAGGAACTACCTTTGTGTGGAATAGCCCTCATAGTAAGACACATGTACAATGTGATTATCCCTCTACAAGTTATGTTGACTGACACTATAATAAATAACACATTTTATGATAGAGCTTTCTCGTCATCCAAGAAAACAGCGAGGTATTAATTCTAGGCGCGCAATGTTTTTTATTTTTTTAATTATAAAAATAACAACTTACCTTGGTTTCTAATATATACGACGGATAAAACTAATATGGAAGCGCTTCGAGTCCAAAATTTTATAATTTATGTTTTATTTTGATTATAATCGTAAATTAAAACAATTAACCCTTTGTTTTTTGATATAACCGAGGGATCGACTAATCAAATTTCACTATAAAAGTAACAAAAATTAACCTAATCATTAATTATTTGTAGCCGTCCCAAAACTCGCAAGCATCATTCTTTGGGATGAATTACAAGATAGAAAAAACCTTCAATGTTCTTATAGAACAAAATATTTTTTTGCCCTTGAAATCTATCTCATATAATGGTGCTGATGTTGGTTGTTTAGGTTATTGTTTTTGTTGTATTTTTGTTCATTTGATAGATTGCAAGTGCAGAAAAATCATTCTCGATTAAAGTGGATAATGAAGGAAGCTCTCTTCTTTAAGAAATGGAATGAGAACTTAGAAACTGTTCTTGGTTGCATGTATTTTGACCTTGCATTAAGGATGAAGCAACCACCTTCTCCTTCGGAATTTGGTTCCTTTGAACAAAGGATATATTATCAGAAGTTGGATCGCTCCAATCGCATGGGTCGTGCAATGGTTTGTTTTGAGATCAATTTAGACCCAATATCTGGAAACACTTGGTGGTTAGAGTGTAGTGAAACTACTAACATCAGTATTTCAATAAAGGGTTGCCTAAACTACTGAAAGTCAATTGATGTTGAAAGATACATCTTTGTGGGAGATGGCAAGTTGGTGGAGGAGGAAGCTATAGGGAATTTTATATTGTTAGTGTGTACCAGATTTTATTTGGATTTGAAAGACACTTTTGTGGTTCCGTCATTTAGACAAAATTTAATTTTGGTTTATTTCGACAAATCAAGTTATTTGTGTTCATTTGGGAATACTATGTTGAAGTTTTCTTTTAATTTAAATATTGTTGGAACTGGTTCACTTATGATTCATGATAAACTTTATTTGCTTGACATAATAGCTTCCTATGGAAAATTCTTGAATTTGGAACCGTCCCATAGTACACCATGTCGGGATCACCTAACATGAACGGTATTGCTGAAAGACGAAACCAGACTCTTCAGGATATGATAAGGAGTATGATTTGTAATTCTACCTTCCCAGAGTCACTCTGGGGAAAGACACTAAATATTGCAACTTACATTCTAAATAGAGTACCAACAAAAACAACTGTCAAAACACCTTACGAGCTTTAGACTGGGAGAAATCCTAGTTTAAAATATTTTCATGTGTGGGAATTCCAGCTAAGGCAAGGCATTATAGGCCAAATGAAACGAAATTGTCCTCGAATAAAGAGCAGCTACTTTATTGGTTATTCTGAAAGATATTTAGTGGAAAGATATTCTTTGAGGATATTTAGTATGGGGGGAAGAATAAAGTTGCAGACTTTATTTTAGAGGAAGAATCAATAATAATTCCAGAACCGATTCATACATTTGCTTTTGATCAAGCACGTATGAAACCTCCACCAGACATTGTTTATTTTCCTCCCACTCAAGATAATTTGGTAATTCATAAAGAACAAACTCAAAATCCTCAAGAATAGGTGTTACAAGAACCAATACTTTTGCAAAGATACATTAGAAAAAGAAGAAATGTTATTCTGGATGATTACATAGTCTTTCTTCAAGAACATGAGGAAAATGATGGTACGTGAATTGAAGCAATGAAGAAGGGGTATAAGTCCATGCAAGACACTAAGGTTTGGGAACTTGTCCCATTACCAAAAGGTGTGAAACTCATTGATTGCAAATGGATTTTTAAGATCAAACGGGATTCTAACGGTAATGTGGAAAGATATAAAACTCGTCTTATGATTACAGATTATACTCAGAAGGAAGGGATTGACTTTAAAGAGACTTTCTCTTTTGTTTTATCGAAAGACTCTTTTAGGACAATCATAACTCTTGTTACACATTATGATATAGAAATCTATCAAATGAATGTCAAGACGACATTCCTCAATGGATGCTAGGTAGATATTTGAGCCATCTAGGAATGGATCATTGGAAAGTAGGAAAAAAGTTTATGAGGTATTTAAAGAGAATAAAAGACTATATGTTCACATATAAGAGGTCAGATATGTTAGAGATCACTAGATACTCTGACTCAGATTTTGTTGGATGCCAAAACCTTAAAAGATCAAATTCAGGCTAAATATATAGGTTGGCTACTGGTGCAGTTTCTTGGCACAGTGCTAAACAAACTCTTACGGCTTCATCCACCATGACAACATAGTTTATAGCATGTTATGATGCATCCAACCATGGGATTTGGCTGAGGAATTTTGTCACTAGGCTGCGAATTATGGAAGTATGTGAAATGCCACTTAAGTTATACTATACCAATAAATTAATCGTCTTGTATTACAACAATAATAGGAGCTCGACCAAATCAAACTACATCGACATCTAGTTCCTAGTTGTTAAAGAAAAGTTACAAAGTGGACAAATTTCAATAAAACATTTGGGGAAAAACTCCATGATAGTAGATTATGAATTTTATGTTCTATGTTTTATTATTATGTATGCATAGTATGATTTTGGATATTTTCCAAATTAATAAGGTTTGATATTCAGCAATTTACATGCATTTTGTACAACAAAGTTATTGAGTGATCTCGCTAAGTACGACTAATTGAAAATCAACATATACAGACCAATTTTATGTGATTTTCATGCTACACATTTCATGATGGACATGACTATATATTGACATGACTAATGGACGAGATAATTTGGACATGCTTAAGGAATATAATGCCAAATTTTGAGTTCATAAAATCTAACACAAGTGTGTGATTACATATGTGACGAGTGGGAGATTGTTAGAATTTTTGGGTCACAAATGTAATATTACATGCGTTAGGACCATTATGTAATTAGCCAAAGTTATAGTGGTCTTATTAATAATAAGTCTCTTAAAAGCATAAATGTCATGAAATGTTAGGTTATTGTGTAGATACCATAAGTCAATGTCTAATTTGTTGAAAACTAAGAAATAACCCTAAGGTTATTTATAGGAGTTATGATCTCCATTTGTAGACAGCGCAAAATGGCTTATTAAGAATTCTCTCTTCATCCCATCAGAAGAGAATCAAAGAGGCATAACGAACTCTACAAATTAGAAGATCACATACCTCCAAATCTTCGATTAATCTCAACGACAAATTCAAACACGCTTCCACTTTCATTCTCATAATTGTATTCAAATATGAATTTAAAAAATTTATTTAGAATTTTATTCTTGATTTATATATTAATAGAAATTATAAGATTTATGAATAAATCTAACATATAACACCACACTAATGCACCACACTAATGTATAGTTCAAAATATCTGGTGTTATACTAATTGTGACAATCAAACACAAAATCATAATAGCTAGTATAAAAGAAAATATTTATCAAAAGTGAACATAATGAAAACATATAATCAATATCAATTTTGTTCAATCTTCATATTAAAACCCACATCAAATATTGTTAGCACCACAAAATCCTCTTGCAACCAACAGTGAATTAGACACACTTGCAATCTCACTTGGCTGAAAGTATAAATTAAACAATTAATTAGATAAAATATTTGAATAATAATTTAGGCATTAAACATTAATATCAAAATGTGAAATAAATATTCAAATTACACACAAAAAGTGCTAGTAGTTGATCACTTTGTTATGAAGGAATGAATACAAAACTTTAAAAAAGAAAACACGCATGACTAAAAACAAAACAGTTTCAATAGCAGTAACATTAAGGTTTACTCAAAAAATCAGCATCCAAAACAAGAAAAATAATGGAATATTACAAGAAAAATAAACACGCAGTAACTCTTTACTGTGTATAATCTACATTAAAATTCACACTTAGGGGTCTTATCATTCATAATAGTGTACCTTATAACACTTAACATATCATTGATAAATCAAAGTAGTTAATCTTATTAATGGAATAGTAAAACTGAAAGATAAGAACAAGAACTTACATTTGGTTCGATCTTGGGTTTGAGATGGATCATAAAAATTAGTCCACAAATTTTCTTTATGTGCAGCCTACTTCTTCGAAATGCTAAGTTTGCAATATCTCTTTACCATGGCTTCATCAATGCTAAACTGAAAATGAGGCTTCATAGTCAAATTTTAGACTAAAATATGCAAAGTAAATTTAGTCTACAAGGTGTAACTAAGTATTAGTACCTTTAAATCAGTTTCAAAGCAGTTATCAAAATAAGATATTTATTTTGGCATGCCTACACGATCACAATACAATAGCATAACATTAATAGCACTTTTTTATAAAACGCTGTTAAATGTTACCCATATATACTTATAATAGCGACTTATTTTCGGGCGCTATTATAGAGGTGTTTAGAAAAAAAACAAAAAAAAAAGTAGAGTGATGCTATATCGGTTGTGAGAAAACACTATTTTTGGGGCACTGCTGTATTAGCGCTTTCAATATAAAGCTATTATTGTCTTTTTAGGAAATTAAAAAATACAATGTTTTCAACTTTTTTTGATATCACCCTCGACAAATATTATCGAGCAGACAAAAACATCCTCTCTCTTCCTTGATATGACCTTCAAGGAATCACCAGTCCAACATGAACCCTTCAAGGAGGGTAATTATCAAAGGCTCTTTCTACCAACCTTTCCGACCCCCAACAGAGTCCGACGAAAAATTCCAGATTCAATCCATTCAAAACTAGCTAAAAAGAAGCTTAACTATTAATCTAGGGTTTTAGAGAAAACAAATCAGAGTTCTTCTTTGAAGTCCAGCCACAACGTCATTCCTCGACGGAAATTACGGAGCCCTCACACAAGGAATGTTTTTCCGACTTCCTATGCTGGTGACTTCAAGCCCTCGCAATTCTCAGTCTCGCAATTTGGAATCTAAGATTATTTTAGGATCTTTGTAAGTTTAACACAAATTTAGGGTTTAAATACAATGCTAGCTACAATGTTCTCAAATGACTTATTATTGACTAACTTACTAATCTAGGTTGGATTGTTGTTAAGATTGGCCAATTCACCGTTGTTTATGTTTTCAATTAAACATGTGGGGGAGCTTTACCTTTGCTTGTCGATTGGTTCAAGATTCTGTGCACTTATTTGTTCATGTGCTGATTTTTTTATCTTTCCCACTAATTTGGGAACATAGTTGATGTCCATGAACTTGATGAATATGCTAGTATGAGAAAGCTTTGATGTGGCATCTCATGCTTTTTTCTATTAACCCTATTTAAGGCACTGACTGTTATTCTTAATATGCAGTTGCATGTATTGCAAGATTGGATAATATTTTGCTAAGCTATAAGTGAAGATTAGTAGGATTTATTTCGAAGCCCCTCACCGCCAGCAAAGTCACACTTTTGGTGAGGAAGATGTGAGCCACTACTTCAATTTACTAGTGTAGTTAGTTTTATACTTTATTGTTCAAGGTTGCAATTCTGTTGAAATTGTTATAAATTTCTAGAATATTCTAAATATAATATGTATGGTAATGGTAGAATACCTTAGAAACTATAGTGTATATGAGTATGGTAGAATAATCTAAAATTATAAGTGTATGTAAAAGATAGAAGAACCTAGAACTATCATGATACTAACATATCATGAAAACTCTAGAAAAATCTAAAGTAATGTAGAAACATTCACCACCATTGAGAGGT